AGATTTCTGTTTTGGATACTATGGTAAACGATAAATTCATTACTAGTTCGGTGAACAACCATCTTTTTCTTGTTTGTCCCCTTTTAAATTTATCTGTTCTAGATTCATCTATATAGCATGTTAGGTCTGTGTAATGTCTTATTATGTCTTTGTAGTTTTTCAATTGTTTTAGGATCTCACGGTTGTGTCATATATCGATTCTAGCCATTCATCTTTAGGTTGGTTGTAGATTCTTTTGGTCCTATCAGTTCCATGTATTGAAATTCTTTGTAGATATTTTGTCTTGTTCTTTTTCTTTCTTGTCTCTGTTGTATTTCAAAATATTTTCAATATGCATACTATCTTATGTAATTCAGACACGTTTCTTATCTGTTAGAATATTTTGTTGAGAATTGGTCGAATATATTTTATCTATTTTCAAATATGATAACTCTTTAATATTTCTTATTTCAATCAAACATTTGTTTCTTTTATTTGCTTTGTCTGTATCTTCACATCCCTCAAAAAGTCTTAACGTGTCTGTTTTATTTCCTTCTAGTATTATTTTTTTATAATGTTTCAAATAGACATCATTTATTTATTTTATTTCTGCTATCATCCTTGTTTAGGCATATCATTTTCCCCATTATTGTTACATTTTGTGTCTTTAAAGGCATACCATTTTTTAAGCTTGATTTCTTCATTAACACGTAAAAAAAATTCTCATTGTATTGCATTGATCCTGTTGATTTTAACACTAGCATGCATCATTCATTATTGATATGCACAAATTTTATATTCTTCCTTGACGAATGTTTAGACTTTTTCTGAGTTGAGACCATTCCTTAATCTTGAAGTAAAAGTCCAATAATTGTGTTTTCTTAATTTTTCACATGTTTTATATATTCTCCTTTTGTCTATATACTTGATATGTGGTATTTTTCCGGATGGTATTGCAACCATTCTGTTTATATTTTTGGGAGCTGCCATCTTATTGTCCGGAGGACACTTTGTAGTGTGAAAATCTCAATCACGTATGTCCGTCTGTTTGGTTTTGAAGATCTGATTGGTTGTCTAAGATTGTTTATTCCACGTGTATCATTTGTTTATCCAATGACATACTAATTACAAAAAATAACTTTATGAACGTTAAGCTATTAAAATAAAATTAATTTTACTTTTTTAATAAAATATTTACTTCTCCGGACCTACAACTGTTCCCGCTTCCTAGGTTTACACTTCTTTACATTGTGTATAATGTCTATTGACAAATTTTTGTTCATAAGCTACCACTCTGCTTCATCCATCTGTAAAATTTTTTAGAAAACCATGTCTTGTTTTTATCTATCCTACAACCTTATCCTTGTGGTCGCCACCCAATGTACTTTTGTTATACAACCTACGGCTTAGCGCATTTATGTGTTGTTTCATGTCATAAAGGCTATAACCGTGTTTGGAAATGAATAAACTAGTTATGGCATGTCCCACATGTTTTATTGTCGCGAAGAATTTCGAGTTTATTAGACTGATTGAACTTAAATATAATATTATGGAAAATAATGTTCTTAAATCTTTTTTCCCAGGTGTTTGGCTTGTAAATTGGGTATATTAATGTATTTACGGATGTTTCTGAAATTAATATCTCGTTGAATATCTTACTCGGTTCTTCCATATATTCTTCAGATAGTTTCTTCTAAAGTTCATAAGGGAAACCGTTTCTCACAGTGCTTTATCATTGGCAGTTGTTTTTAGAATATTTCTTATTTCCTCCGTCGTTATTCTTTCTTTATGGGTTTATAGATCTCTGTTTGTATTTTTTGTTTTGGTTCGTATTCACTTTTCCATTCTGTATCATTTTCTATATCTTTTGTTGATTGGCATAATGCCCATTTTTTTACGAAGACACTACTAATTTTTTTATTTAAACGGGATCCATTGATAACATCATCTCGTTGGACGTATGATCTTTTACTGTATTTGTTTCTAAAGTTTGTCTGTGTCTACCGAGTATTTTATTTATTAGTTGCTTTTTATTTGTCGTGAAAAGATATTGTTTTTCTGTTATTTTACGTTGTATTTGTGATTTTTATGTATTCTAATCTTAATGGATTGTACTAAATTGTCTTTTATTTCTATTCGCAAAGATTTTGAGTTCCTTGTGCGTTTTGTGTCCCTAGCTGTATCTCGTCTGAATTATGCTTTTCTATACTATATTTAAGCTATAGCTATTGATCAACTGTTGTATTTTGTATTTGCTTTTTCCGGTTTCTGTTTTTTGTACGATCAATTATTTTATAATTTGGTTTGTCTTTCTTATTCTAATAAAGTTTACTTATAACGAGTTTTGATTATTTAAGAATGATTCAGCGACGTATTGTGTCTTTTTATTTTTTTTAAATACTTTATTTGCTGCTTTGTTGACATATTTTTTATCTTCAATTGTTCCTGTTTTCGATAAATTTGTCTTCTCTAGTGTTCTTATATATTCTTCCTACTGTTTTTCATTAGATTTTTGAAGCACATATTTTTTTTTGTATAGACTTTTAAGCGTGCATTGAAACGTTAGCTGTTGAATTCTATTCGTTAATTTTGCCGATATGCCTTTTTGATCAGCTTCTCTGTGTTCTTTAGCTGAGAAAATCATTCTGCTGTATTGCAAGTCACTTGTTCTGGACCGAGTTCCATATTTGATCAATCCTTGAAGTTATTCCCGTTGTCGGAAATTCCCAAGTATAATAGATGTCTATGGGTCCATTCTGGAAATTTACTTCAAATGTGCCTTTCGAAAGATTCCTGGAAGGGCGTTCGGTCCAGTGTTGAGAATCGCGTTCCGTTAAAATCTCACATTACTATGATATAGTGGTTGGGTTTCTATCAAAGCATTATGTTTTTTCTTTTATCCATGATTCAATCTCTTTTTGCAGTTCTTTATTATCCTGCTTACCGATATTGGGTATTATACCGTGATTATTCGTTGTTTTTTGTTTCTTTTAAAGGCTAGATCTGTTAACAAAATATCGTCTTCATATGATGTTGTGTAATATAAATGTTGTGCTAGTTCCATTCTTAATACTAATCCTATTCCTCGTACGTTCCTTCCAGTATGATGAGTAAACCCTTTTGATTTTTTTATTATTTAATACTTTTGTGTAGTTCCGTTTTGAGCAAGTAATATGTCGTTTTTTGTGTATATTTTGTTTCGGCAATTCCCATGATGTCAATATTTTTCGTATCTTATTAGGTTAAGTATTTCTTTTTGTTTCAATATCGTGATAATTCCTCTGATGTTTAGTGTTTTTGCAATCATTATTGATTTGGTCGTGTCATGTATTTCATGTTAGAATATGCAAGAATATTGAAGTAACTACAATTGAACTGGAATGCCATTCATGTAAATTCAATAGATATGTAATACATATCATTTTTAAATTACGAAATAAATTTTATAAATCTTTTGATCGCTTTAATTTTATAATTTTTTATTATTTTTGAAAATGCTCTTACCGTATTGAAAATAAAGTCAGTAATAAGTAATTATTATTGAATAAATTAATATAAAAAGGAAATGATGCAACTTCCTATCCTAGACTTTCTGAATGATCCCTTCCACAATTCTTATTCTGATCAAATCAATGAACAGGTGCAAAGAAAAAAGGCAAGAAATTAAAAGAAAATAAAGAGTTCTTACCTAAAACTAAGAAACTCATACCACCAGCCAAAAAACCAAAATCCATTTGTGTCAACCCTGCACGAGTCAAGAAACTAAAAACTAACAATAAAAAGAACAAATGATTATAAAGAAATCTTACCTAAAAAATGCATCATAATGCACAAACCAAATATAATAAAAAAAAGGCTAGTATGAAAAAAGAAGGTTAGTAAAAAAAGATAATAACTAAATGATCAGTCAGTTAGTAATTGTCCTCATAAAAAATTATCTGCACAAGCTTTGTAGACGATCAAAATAAAGAAACAAGCAGCAGCAAAACAAGAACAGACCTCGCTGAAAATAAAAAAAAATGGGCAATAAATATTTTGCTTGAACAATAAATACCTGCCAAAACGTGGCTTCAAAACAATAAATAAAACAAAATACAAAAAACAAGCAGCAGATATTTCGCTTACCAATAAATAACTGCCAAAGTGTAACAAACAGACTCTGTTGAAAAACAGAGCCATTAATCACTTGAAATACTCACAAAAAATAATTTCTGTTTACCAACGAAAAATAAGTGAGCAGAAATGTTTTTCAAGAAAATGAAAAAAAAAATTGAGGATCGAGAAAGATATAAATGACATATATTGGTAAGATTTATTATATTTAGGCTCTAAAAAAAATCACTTGCAGATACAGTACACAAAAAAAATGCTTCACAATTACATCATTTGGTAAAATTTTCAATTACATCATAATTATCATTTTTTATACTACTTGTAACACAATAGATTATCGTTGATTATTATGAGTAAAAGTCATGAGGTATTAGAACCCAGAAATATACATTTAACTATAATTACATACATACAGTATGATAAAATATTTAATATAATCTAAGATATTATTACTGTAATGTATGCGGAAAATGAAATTTTAATGTATAAAAACAAATCAATAAAAATAAATATTAAATCGTGTAAATTGTAAATTTTATTAATAGAACTTCAAAATGAAGAGAGAAAGATCTCCAAGCGAAGTTTCCCATTTACCACCATGTAAAAGAATCATAATTAAGAGATCTCCTGAAATTATGGCTAAAAGAAAACTGGAAACCTTAGATAAAGCAAACACCATTCTTAAGGTAATTAATTCAGCATTTTAAAACTCAAATAAATTAAATCAATGAATTTCGAATATTATAAATTTCTAATTATATTTTTTAATATTTATTTATTTCAAGTCACTATTTGCAACAAGAAAGAATCAAATGACTTTCTCAATCCCATCTTTTTCTGAAGTCAAAATTAAGAAAAGAGAAGTAGTAGGTCATAATAATAATCACGATAATAATAATAATGTGGAAATGCAAGATGTGAGATCTACCAGCTTCCAAACTATGGATAATGAAAATTCAGAAGTTCATCATTTATTATATGAATGTAAAAGAAGAAAGGCCACCCAATATAAGCATAGGAGCGAAGAAGCATCTAGGGACAAAAAGTTGGATAAGATTTCAGATTATTTGGAAGCATTTCTTACTTACGCTGATGCTTATTACAACCAACGTGAAGCTTACAAAAATGGTCATTGTTACAATACTTTTTTAAACCCTGAAAAATTCTTTGATGCTGTCTATATTTGTCTCAGGGGAGGAGACCCAAAACTAATTGGAGGATTGAAATACCTACATTCCCTTGTAATTAAATCATATTATGGTATCCAACTTGAAAGATGCCTTGAAATGTTGAAAAAAATTCCAGATGGTAGTGCAGAATTCAACAGGTTTGTATAAATTATTTATTATTAATTTATATATTGTTGCATTTCATTTAACATTAATATTCTATAATAATTTTATTATGTAAATATTTAATTAGTCATATTGATACAATAAACAGTAGTATCAAAGAATGTAACAAGAAGAATGTAGAAGCACACCAATTATTTGATACAGCCAAAGAACTTTCCGGGGATAAAAGCCTAGATGCTTCGAATAGTTTGGAAAAGGGTAGAAACTATGTCAGAGAAATAGTAAATAAGTGGAGGGTGAAAAAGGGAATTAATTTTGTAGCAATTTAATTCTAGTTTTTATTTTTTATTTTATACATTTTATATCTATTATATATATATATTAATAAACTTATCATTTGATTATAAATAATTATTTGAGACAATGCTCTGTTAATTTACTTGGCACAATTAGTATGTCTTAAATATAATGAAAAAATAATTTTCGTGAAAGAATATATCAGAAATGTTAATAAGAATAAAAATAATGATTAATAATAATCTCAAACTCAAATTTATATTTTAAAATTTTTAGTACTTAATCCTTAATCATAAAGATAAAGTTGTTAGCCTAAAAAATAAAATTGTTATCCAGTATCTAAAAAATATTTATCAGCAATGTAAAAGTATGAAGACCAAAAAAAAAAACAATGTTCTTCTATGAAAAAGTCAAAGATAAGGCTTGTAATTTCAGGATCATTGTAATGAATCTACTAATCCGTTAATTTATAAATGAGAGAATAAATAGCAACAACTATTTATTACACAGAAATAATATCAACAAATATTATTCCAACAAAATATAGGTTATAAATAAATTAATTGACAAGAACTTGCTTGCCTCTTTATTTTCTTATGCCTTTATATAATGATAAAAATACATAATTATAAATATAGATAAATATTATTACATATCTTAGGTTCATAGAACCTTTCCAGAATAGGCAACATAATATATAATATAAATATAAAAAGAATAAAAAGATACATGTGAGTTAATTAATAAGAATATAAATAGAAATAATAAATATAATTCACATGTACAAAAATAGATTAAAATGATTATCACATTTCTTAACATGCTTTCAGCCTGATTCTCCATGTGAAATCATTAATAATATAAATAAAAGAAAAATAGAAAAAGAAAGAAAAAGAAAATAAAATTAGAAATAAGTCTACATAAAACTACTGTGGTAAATTATGTCAACAGACAAGAACTGCTACAATCATAGTCCATTGATCAATTACACCAAAACATTCAAGTAAAGGAAGTTCTTATAAAATAAATAAAAAGACAAATATAATAACAAATTCATCAGGAATGAGTATGGAAAATGGCAGTGGATGTTCAAGACAGTCAACAGCAATTTATAGAACTAGACTTAAGAATCCTAAAGTCAAAGGCAACAAGTAGTCTGGCTACAAGAACATTATTGCAAATACTTATGAACCAAAACCTAGTACAACAGCAGGCACAGGAAATTTGAACAAAGAAACAAAAACCTCAGAGACAAATACAAATAACATGGAGTTATTGTCAGTAGAAGAGAATTTATTATTAAATCAAAATAGTATAGGTGAAAAAAATACAGATAATAATATGAAGGCAATTGATAATACAAAAAAAAGATGAAAAAGGTAAAGGAAAAGAAATTATTATTGAAACAGAGAAAGAAAATAATGAAACAAGTGAGCAAAATATTACAAACACAGAAATAGATGATAATGAATAAGTAAACTCAAAAGATAGTTTTTTAAGTGAACATAAGGAATGGAGGAAAAAAATTAATTTACAAAAGTATAAAGTATGGATTAAAACAGGAGAAGTTCATAGAAAAAACTTAAAAGAAAAAATTGATATGATAGCAAATTTATTAAATAAAAACGAAATTAATATTATTACAATCAAAACTGAAAAAAATTTGGAAGATAAAAAACTATATATTGCAATATATCTGGAAAAAAAGGAAGATATGGAAAAGGCATGTAAAATCGAAATTGAAGGAATACAATTAAATGATAGGTCAACTCTAACAAGAGCAGCAATAAACCAAAATAAAAAAACAAATAAGAAAAAGGAATTAAATTCTGGGATATACCAATTGGCATGCAGAAACAAGAATTTAAAAGTATGATAAAAAATAAATTTGGAAATGTAACCTCATGCAGTATGAGTATAAGAGGATTGTGGTTATCTGCAATAGTACAATTTAAGAAAGAAGATATAGTTGAAAATCTATTTATAGAATGGTCACAAATTATTGGAAAAGAATCATGCAGAGTAAAGTCACTCACATGTAATTTTATTGAACTTAAGGAAAGAGGTAAATATACAGTAAAGATCATCAATTTACCACCTGATATTACAGCACAGGAATTATATAATATAATAAGTCCTTTTGGTACCAAAACATGCTATTTTTCACGAAATTTATATGGGAAGAAGAAAAAAATGACTATAGCATCTTTTGAGAGTCAAGAAAGAAAGATCAAGTTATAAATTTTGAATGGATTGCAGGAGAATATAGAGTTAAAATAGTGGATACAATTTTGAAAATGTGTTACAGATGTCATGTGGAAGATCATTTTGTAATTAGTTGTCCTGTGACAAAAAAACAAAGGGAAATTAGTAAAAGAAAAGTAAGAGATTTTGAAAAATATAGGTAATTATATAAAAGACAAAGGTCATAACTATAGATGGTGCCAAAATTAGGCCAGAATTATGGCATTACAGTATTACGACAGTTGAAAATGTTTTTGGCATTACCTTTCAAAATTCAAAAATGCCAAAAATAATTTCAGCTGCCATTATTATTTTCAGCTGCCATAATTATTTTTGGCTGCCGTAATTATTTTCAGCTGCCATTATTATTTTCAACTGCCATAATTATTTTCAGCTACATTATTATTTTTAGCTGCCATTATTATTTTCAGCACCATTATTATTTTCAGCTGCTGTTTATACCTGCCACCCAAATTCAAAATCCAAATGCCGAAATCCCAAATGCCAAAATCCCAAATCCCAAATCCCAAATTATGATTAGTATTTTTTGCCAAAATCCCAAATCCCAAATCCCAAATACTAGTAATTTGGGATTTTGGCATCCCAAATCCCAAATGATTTGGGATTTGGGTAACACGTATACTGCTGTTATTATTTTAGGCTGCTGAAATTATTTAGGCTGCCAAAATTATTTGATTGGTCAAAATTTGTATCATAACCATTTTATTTTTATTACAATAGATGGTTGGGTTAGGTGACTGTGACACAAAAAAAATTTCTGCGGATCTTGTGAATATCATATAATAAAAGTCTATCAAATAAACAAATAAATTTGTTTTAATACTATTTTTTCTATCTACATACTAACATCTATTTTTATTGAGTTTTGACATAAATAATAGTAGGTTTTTCCCTTTGATTTTAGCAATTATAGTTTTTTTTTTGATTTTGGCAATTACAAGTCTACTAAATTGGCTATTTTTATTATAGATTGATAGGATTAAAAATAAACCAAAATTATAAGATATTTCAAAGTTTAGGAAGGTTAATAGGAGTATTGTGATGTTTATTTTATTGTTTCTTTGTGCATACAGGTACTAACTACTGTTTTTTTATTATTTTTAGATCAGTTTTTATAATTAAATCAAGTGGCGCAATACCATTTATAGATCTAGAGTCTAGATTCTAGAAAAGAAAGAAAAGTAATTTCAAGGTTTAAAAGGAATTTATAGAACTAAAGGTAAGTATATTTAATTTGTTTTATTATTTCTACTAGTTTTCAAGTAGTTGGGTCAAGTTTTTATTATTTTCAGAGGACCTAGATTATTAAATTAACTGATAATTATGATTTTACAAATGATAATGGAGAGAATTTACAAGTTGAAGAAATATTAGATTTTATTAAATTTTCAGATGAAAATAATAATAATAATAATAATAATAATATGATATATGTAGTAATTGAAGATAATGAAGATTATGATATTAATGAAATAATTAATGCATCTGCAAATATTAATAATTAATAATTTTTAATATGATAACTTCTTTTTTATTTTAATTTTAAATAATATAATAAACTTT